AGCTCCATTTCAAGCCACCTCCCCAGGGAGTTGCCACAGTCCAGACCACACCTCCAAGAAAGCCCAGCAAACAGTGACCCCTTCCCAGGGAGGGTCAAGATCACTCCCAAAGGCTACTTAAACTGGCCCTCAGAGACCAAACACATTGTAGTTCTGGTTCACCTTTCCCCTCTTTGTGTTTTCCGGAGGTCCACCCAGTAGTGCTGGCATCCATTGAACCTGGGCTTCTTCTAATTTGATCCGATATGGTCTAATTTGAATTATTGCATAAGCGGAAAGGTTTGGGCTGGGAAAAAACATAACATTTGGAGGTCCCATGCCGGGGGCCTTTTTTCCCACCGGCCCAGGGTTACGTGTTGGAAAATGCTCTTCTCGCCCATGCTCTCCACCAGGCTAAGATCGGCTTTGTCTGGTGAGTTCCGCCTTTTCAAGAACATGTCCCTAGGACCCAGGGCCCTTGTGTTTGTTGGGTGGTCTGTTAAAGCCGAGGCCACACTGGACCCCCAGCCTGACCAAAAGCGGTGAGACAGTCCTTGCTGAGGTGGGATTCCATGGGATGGAGACATCTGCCCACGCAATTCTTACATCCCTCTGTTTTTTGACTCAAGAGTCTTATCACAGTAGACGCATCGTGGTAGGCATTGAGTGCCGAGACTTGGCATAGACTCGTGAAAACGGACACTTGCAATTTGAGGCCTTATCTCCAAACACCCTTGGGCTGCCCTGTGCAAAAGTCATTTAAATTGGGTGTATCCAACATCCAACATAAAATAAACAAGGCTGGGTCTAGGGGTAGGTTGATCCCGAATTTCCTGAGAAACCGAAACACTGATTTCCAAAGTAGTTGCACAAGGTTGCATTCCCACCAGCAATGGCTATCATTGGTGTTTTTGATTTTAGCCATTCTGAAAGGTGTAAGATGATATCTCAAAGTTGTTTTGATTTGCATTTCCCTGGTTGCTAAGGAGGTTGAGCATGACCTTAAGTGTCTTTTGGCCATTTGAACTTCTTCTGTTGAGAATTCTCTGTTCAGTTCAGTGCCCCATTTTTTAATTGGGTTAATTAGCATTTTAAAGTCTAGTGTCTTAAGAGATGCCCTATCATCTGACAAAAGCATTTGTTCAACTACATTCATAGCAGTATTATTTGTAATAGCCAGAACCTGGAAACAACCTAGATGTCCTTCAATGGAAGAATGGATGAAGAAAGTGTGGAATATATACACATTAGAGTACTACGCTGTGGTAAAAAAACAATGACTTCTCAAATTTTGCATGCAAATGGATGGAAATAGAAAACACTATCCTGAGTGAGGTAACCCAGACCCAAAAAGATGAACATGGGATGTACTCACTCATAATTGGTTTCTAGCCATAAATAAGGGTCACAGAGTCTACAATTGGTGAACCTAAAGAAGCCAAATAAGAAGGTGAACCCAAGGAAAAACATGTAGTTATCCTCTTGGCTATGGGAAGTAGACAAAATTGCCGGGGAGAAAAGTGGGATCTTGGGGGTGGGGTGGGATGGGGGTAAGGGGAGATGGGGAGGGAAAAGTGAGAAGGGGAGGGTAGGGGAACTTGGGGAAACAGGATGATTGGGATAAAGGAAGGTTGGATAGGGGAACACAGAAGCACAATTCTTAGTTAAGGGAGCCACCTTAGGGTTGGCAAGAGACTTGAACCTAGAGTGGCTCCCAGGAGTGCAAGGCGTTGTCCCCAGTTAGTTCCTTGGGCAGCTGAGGATAGGGAACCTGAAATGACCCTATCCTAGAGCAATAATGACGAATATCTGGCATGTCACCATAGAACCTTCATCTGGTGATGGATGGAGATAGAGACAGAGACCCACATTGGCGCACTGGACTGCGCTCCCAAGGTCCCAATGAGGAGCAGAAGGAGGGAGAAGATGAGCAAGGAAGTCAGGACCACGAGGGGTGCACCCACCCACTGAGACACTGGGGCTGATCTATTGGGAGCTCACCAAGGCTAGCTGGACTATGAAAAAGCATGGGATAAAACCCTACTCTCTGAACATGGAGAGCAATGAGGGCTGATGAGAAGCCAAGGACAATGGCACGGGGTTTTGATCCTACTTCATGTTCTGGCTTTGTGGGAGCCTAGCCAGTTTGGATGTTCACCTTCCTAGACATGGATGGAAGGGGGAGGACCTTGGACTTTCCACAGGGCAGGGAACCCTGACTGCTCTTTGGACTGGAAAGGGAGGGGGAGAGAAGTGGGAGGGAGGGGAAGAAGGGTGGGAGGAGGGGGAGGGAAATGGGAGGCTGGGAGGAGGTGGAAACTTTTTTCTCTTTTCTCAATAAAAAAAAAGAGAAAAAATAAACAAGGCTTCATACCCATGGTTTCTGGATGCTGTGCTTCCGCTCCCACTCCCCTTCCCTGCTCCCCTCCCTGCTTCTCTGGCTGTTTGCTGTTTCATGCTGGGACTCTCTATAATGGATCTGCCCCCCCCCCCCCGTCCTCCCACTCGAAAACTTCAAAGGTGTTCTGTCCTTTATTTCTGTTCTCTCTTGCAGCATCTGGTAATCTAATCCTTAATGGGACCACCTGTGTGCTTCTCTGGCTTCTGCCACCTATACCAGGGTTTTTAAGTTGGTCAGCTGACACAGGTTTCTAAAAAAATTTATTTATCTGTCTGTTAAAATAATGTTGTCACACTATGCTTTTATGTCTATGTGTGTATATATGTTTGTTTTCAAAGTATGCTTGTCTTATTTCTCTGTCTGTATTTGTGTGTGTTTTAAGATCTGTAAAACTTACAACTCCAAATTAAAACATCTCTGGAAAAATACAAACTCATGGGTAGCCTCCATTTTGACCTCAGCTCCATCTTGGATAAGAGTACTCACATGTGTTAGTTTTCTTTGACTTATGAAAATATTCCTTTTAATCTTCTTACATTTACTAGCATTGGTAAGCTCTAACTAATTGGGTAAAATACATGTCTAAATTTAACTTATATGTCTAATTTAAATATAACTAACAGATAATGGTACTCAATCTTCAAGTGCCTTTACAGATCTGAGAGCATGGCATTTAACAAAAGAGCTTCAAACACAGACATGCCAGTTCCTGCAGCATCCTTTAGCTCCTCCAAGAAGATACATGGTCACAAAAGACCTTCTGCCAGGAGGCTTGCCTTTGGGTTTGGCAAAGCCACCCACACAGCAAAAAGTAGCCTTCTACCTTATTATCCTCCTGAAAGCTACACTGGGGATGATTGTCTCATCCTGCCAAAACAGGGAGACTAAATCTTCCCCCCAAGGAAAATCTTTGGACCCCTTGTACTCAGCAGCTAACAGCAAGCACTGCTTCTAAGTCTGGTGTTCTCCAAAGACTACAGAGAGACCTGGGGTCCCCTATGTAATTAAAAATATTGTCTCATTTCTGCTCATTTATCCCTCTTAGATTTGTTCAAAGACATTTGGTGACTTAAAGTAGTGGTAGTTCATTATCTCAGTTATTAAATTTCCTGCTAAAAATACAGACAGGTGTGCCTATTTCAGCAAGAGGTATGGTTGGTAACTGATCTGAATAGCAGCAGTGACTGCAAATCTTATTAACATTAAAAACACAAAAATCTTTCACATATGGAGTCAGAAGACTTAGGCAAATAATGGTAATAGGATGTGGCCATTTTGTGGGCTGTTAGAGAAAAAAGGTGGCGTTTGTATAGCGGAGACAGAAAAATCTTCCACCTTGGTCCCCTTCCTTCCTTTTATTATGTAATCCCTACATTTTAAGGACTGTTAGGAGTATGCACTGGCACTCTACTAATTCCCCAAAACTTCATTTTCCTGAAATATTGAATAAAAAATTGATTTTGACAAGGAAATAAAATGTTCAGAATAATACATTAAATCATATTTTCTGTACCAGTTACAAATAAGTCACATTTGAATAACTTATGCATGTAAGTAACGATGGGCAGGGACTGCTGATGGCTACTTACTAAGAGCTTATTCAGTCTCAGGCATTATGGTAATCTAATGAAAGAACTGACAACTCTGTGCCCAGAACAAGTTTATGGTGTGCATGTTAGTCTTCTGAATTGGGGAAGAGGAATTGAATTCCTCACTACTTAAATAATTTGTTCCTCAAAAGAACTAAATAATACTTGAAGACAATAAGAAGAGCTTGAAATATTTTAAAAAATAATGTTTACTATGGCCTCAAATTCAGAGAAAATTGATCATTAGGGTTTTGCCTAGCATTCCTTGCAGTTTGACTATAAATGCCCTCCATAATCTCATGTGCTTGAATCGGGAGGTTAGAACTGTTTAGAAAGTTCTGGGGCTTAAAGAAGGTGGAGCTTTGCTGGTAACTGAGAGTGGGGTTTGAGGTCTTACAGCATGGCCCACTCTTTGTCTGCTCTCCACTTCATGTGTGTACATGCAATGTAACCATTTACTTGCCACCATGCCTTCTACGGCATGACTGTGTCTTCTCAGTCTGTAAGCCAAAATAAGCTCGTTGTTCCTTAAGTCGCTTCTTGTGAGTTATTTATGTGCAGGAAAAATAAAACTAAATAATACAAAATAAGAGAAAAAAAATCACACTACCCATAAGGAAAGTTTTCAAAGAAATAACATCTCTATACCATCACCAAAATTGTGCTTTATTCAGTAACAACAGTGACAATTATCTAAGCTGTAAAAGCCCCTAGGGGCCCAGGTGACAGGCAGACTGGAAAGGCTCCTTGGAGGGCACTGGGGTAACACCTGCTGCTCTTCCCTCTGTGTATCAGGGATGCTGTGCCACAGAGGAAGGATCATTCTCAGCAGCCCCTTGGTGGTAGAAGGAGAATAGTCTCATGGAAATATCTTCCCTATCAGCAGTCATCTTTGGCATATCAGGGGTGAAGGTTGAAAAAGATTCTTCAAAATTTATGACAGGTTTTGAAGGAACAGTAGATGAGTTGCTATGGAACTAGGTGAGATGGAGTCCCTTCTCCTGTCTTGATCCTGGTGACTGCTGAAGCACTCACATGTTCTTCTGTGGGCACTTCTGCTGGCAGGGTGGAGGAGGTTGCACAGGAGGGCATTTCTGCTGGCATGGCTGAGGGGGGCATGGCTCAGGGCACTTTGGAGGAGGACAGGGCTCTGGGCACTTTGTGGGTGGGCACACAGGAGGAGGCTGGCAGGGCTGCTTGCACTGCTGCTCTTGGTAAGACATCGTGCTGAAGTCTCAGGATCTGAAAGACATTACATAGCGGTTCTCACAAGAGGTGATTTTCATAAAGAAAACTGATCTCTAAGATTTTGGACAGTAATTCTCTCGCATACAATCAGTACTCCCAAATCTTTGTCTTTTAGGACTTCCTACATTTTCCCTTCCAATTTAGTGTTTTGTTTCATTTAACTTTGCAGATCCTTCTTTGGTTGCATTCCCCATACCCAGAAACATCTGTTTTAAAGAATACAATGTTTCTTGCACAAAACAACATATTCAATTTCTGAAACCTTAAGTAATCTCAAAACCAACCCTTATCACCATTAGCACCTGTAAAATCCCAGACAGAACACGGGTTTCACATCAGAGGACACCTAGGAAAATTCAAGGGTCTAATGCCCGCCAAGAGATAGGCCTTTGAAAAGGGCACCAAAACGTAAGAAAATAAAAATACTCTGTTCTGTCACCATCTTCAAAGCAATCCTTTCCTATTGTCTTGGTTTTCCATATGGGCATCAACCACCTATACACAAAGGCAGAAACAAGCTAACACAGTGTGGATCACTCTGCCACGTTGCTGAATTTCAGATTGGTAACTAACATTCAACCCATGATCACAGTTTGAAATCACCAACCGTTCTCTCTAAAGTAACCTACATGAGAAGACCACAGACAGACATCAATTCAGGAGGTCAGACTCACCAGGTTCTCTGTAGTCTGGGGTTTGAGTAGCAATGGTGTTACACTTCTTTATCTAACTCTTTTTTATAGGACTGGGTGCCACACCCAGTAGGACGTAGAGCCGCTAGACAGTGGGCTGGTCCAACAATTTCCTAACTAAAATGCAAATCTGGATATAACTGGCTTAACCAGGACTCTGCAAAACAGGAAATACCCTGTCCCTGGACATAGCAACTGGGATGTGCAGTGACTCAGAGGCCATTCCTTCTTTCCTTCTTTCTTGGTTTCAGTCTTTTGTTGCAGCTGGAGAAACTGGGGATTTTCCACCTGGTTGCCCAAAATTGTCTTTCTTGGTTTTAAATACTATCTCTTTCATCTTTGCCGTATCTGAAAACTGTCTACCTCAACTGCTTGCCACTTTGCAGCATGTAGGCTTATTTACTCTCATAAGACTAAGACCTGGTCTACCTCTTAATTGTGAAATTTGATGACCATTTCTCAATAAAGCTATATGTAGTCAATGTGTTTGTGAGCCTTGTCTTTTCTCATCCCTTTATTGTTCTAAGAAGACTAACTGTAAATAGTACATTACATATTTATTGTTCTAAGAAGACTAGCTGTAAATAGCACATTACATATTTAAAGTGCCATTGCTAGAGCCTACTGGTCTTGTTGAAATGGTTAAGAAGTCTTCCAAAAAATCTATGTAATTGAATTTTAACTAAAAAAATAAAAGTGACTATAAAAATAATATCACTTTATAATTAGAGATGGAAGAATAGAATGAAGAAGATGAAACAAAGCCTTTAACTAGCCTCAGCTCTGATCTGAGAAGCACACAGGCACTGAATCAACACCGGTGAAGCATGTCAGCTTCCTGTGACTGTCGATGCTTCTGACAGTAAGGAAGGGTTTAGACGAGACTGCCCTTGTCCATGTCCCTAGAGGGAAAGAATCATCAGTTCAGCACCTGAGGCTAGGAAACCCCACTGATGGATGGCTCACATAGGCTAGTGCACATACCACAAGGCAAAGTCTATAGTATTCATTCGGCAGGTCAATTACTTCTCTCCGTATCCTCAATCACATCTAAAGCATCGTCTGAGAAGAAAAAACAAAGTCTGACTTCTGATAACCAAAGTAAGAAAATTATCTGGCCATCTGGGATTGGAGTGTCATATAGCATCATCTAAGTTATTCTTGAGACTCTCATTCTAGACACCTCATAACAAAGGGAATAAAAGGTTAAAGGGGAATGATGGAATAGGAAGGGTTAAGTTAGAATTGGAAGTCAGGATAAAGGAGGGAATATATAGAAGGATAAATAATGCTAAAGGCCAGTTGATAAAGCCGTTTGGATGCCTACTGCCATATAAGCTTCCTAAAATGTATACACATACATATATAAAAAAAGTTTTAATAGTGTTACCTCACAATGGGAGCCCAAGTACACTTGTCACCTTAGGCTGGCAAATAAAAACCCCAGTACCAGGAAAGAATTATCTCTATTGTACAATTCATCAGCAGGGTCCCATAGACTACCAAGTATTATAGGCTATTGATAATACTCTTGGTTACCCTCCAGAACTCTATTGTTTGACCCTCTGCCTGGCACTGAAGACACTACATGCTTGAGACACAGAATAAGGAGAGAGAAAGCAGACACTCAGCTGGAAACCTTGTGCTAACTAACTCATGACTCTGGAGTTTCATAGGCATGCTTTCAGAGGATGAAAATCATCATCAGTCTCACCCATCTGTGAAACCTATGAGTTACAATGACTGGCCTGATGACATATGCTCACTGGTGCAATTGTGTCAGGAATGTTATGGGAGCAACCAACTACTTTCTGATTATATCTAAAGACTTGCTCAATGAGAAGGAACCAATACCTGCTTTTGGTACTGTTAATGCAGCCAAGAACCTGTGACTGAGTAGGTCACAGGCCCTAGGGGAGAAGGCAATAATATTGTTCTGCTAAATGGGCATATCATTGAAATGATTCCACACGGCCTATTGCTATACCCATAGATCAGTGTATCACTTGTTCCTCATCAGAGAACTTTTTCTTGCAATATGGTAATTAACACCAAGTTACTCAAAAGGTCAATGTACAGAGAATAGCAGCTTTAGGCATCCTCAGTATTTTCTACATTGTTATATTGAGTGGGAAGTTTGTAAGAATCAGAGGTTGTGAGTAACATCAAGGCATCAAGGAAACAGTTTTTCCCAAGCACATATTACAGTTTTACATATGAAACACAGCAATTGGGGGGCAGCATGGACAAAATCTATGCAAGCTCAAGCCAGACAAAGAACTCAGCACAGAGAAATGAAGGTGGCCATTTGCATTTGACAGCTACTGGGAAACAGTTGGGTTTTTTTTTTTTTGATGAGTTGACTCCATGTAGGTTGACAACCCTCTAGGATAGGTCACAGTGCCAAGACTCCTTGAGCACTACAATCTGAACTTGGTAGACAGAGGGAGGAAACTACACGTTGGGTTTGCAGTGAGGTAACAGTGGAGAGAGTTGATAGAGGAGTTGGTAGATGAGGGGATTAATGTAAAATCACACAATCCGAAATAATCAAAGAATCAATAAAGTATTATTTTAAAGGAATAATACCCAAAAGAGAAGTGTAATGTTTTCCCAGAAGTTGAATTTAGGGGTAAAGGTTAATATACTCTTATACCTATATTTAAATTTCATAATGAAAACTTTACTCTTTATAAGGATACTTACTAATAAAACATTTTTTAACATAGGGACTACTATCCCTGAAAGCACTGGCACCAGAGTCGGGGCAGGCTAAATCTCCTTCTAGGATGAGACACACACAGAAGTTATGATGGAGGAAGGTCATTGGTTAAATAAAGAAACTGCCTTGGTCCTGATAGGACAGAAAATTAGGTAGGCGGGGTAAACAGAACAGAATGCTGGGAAGAAGGAAAGTGAGCTCAGACACCAAGCCTCTCCGCTCCAGGGCAGATGCAATGAAGCAAGCCACCAGGTCAGACATGCTGAATCTTTCCTGGTAAAACTGGTGCTACACAGATTATTAGAGATGGGTTGATCGGGATATGAGAATTAGACAGTAAGGGCTAGAGCTAGTGGGCTAAGCAGTGTTTAAAAGAATACAGTTTGTGTGTTGTTATTTTGGGGCATGAGCTAGCCAGGAGGCCAGAGGCTGGGTGGCAGGAACGCAGCCTGCAGCTCATCTCAACAAAGTTAAGTTCCTTTCAAAGATGTTCCATGAAGAGCAGTCACAGAAGAACAAGATCACACAGCACACTTTCTTCAATATGATCCTCCAATATCTGAGATATGGAATGCACGAGTGTATATATGTGAACACACACTCACTAAAACACAAAGGTCCTTTCTATCTATCATCCATCAATTAGACAAACATATAATTAACTTAGATATCCATTCTTGTTTTCTACGGAATTTTATGAATCAATATTTTGTCAAAAAATGGGAAGCATGGCGTTTTTTCTAAATATTTACTGTCATACTCATAGTCAAATATTAATCCCACCCTTAATCAAAGAAGCTTCTCTCTGATATGAACACTGATGTGTGCACAGACATGCAGCTTCTAATAGAACTGAGAGTGGCGAGTGAGAGCTGACTGTTCAGACACAAAGACACGTTTTTACTATACTACCCTCTCTAAAGTTTACAAATCATTGCCAAAGTGGGACAGAAAAATATAAGAACTGAAAGATCCTGAGCAGAGCTGGGTCAGCCAAATCACTCACGACCTTATAACATGTACATCCACCTACAATGGGCCTAAACAAGTCTGGATCTATCAACGGTCAATCGAGGGTCAGAGCTGGGCTAGTCAACTTAACATTGCTTTTATGCATATGTTTGAAGACTGACCACTTGGTGTTGGATAACCAATCATGGCACCTACCCTGTGGAAGACTGATTATCCTTCCTCTGTGGTTGTTGCTTCCCTAGAGCTCTTCATTTAGAGGTAGGTCCTACAAAACTTCCCAACCCACACTGGCAAGTCAACTTACCAGTTGTTATTTTTCAGATTTGTTTAAGTATCTATATTGTTGAGATTTCACGGGCATAGCTTCCCTGTTATATCTAGAATTCAAAATCGTGATGCATACTTCCTGGTCCTCAAACCTTTGCTGTCTTCCTGCTCCCTCTTCCACTATTTTCCCTGAGCCTGGGTTGTGACTGTGTTGGAGATCTGCCAGCTGGGAATGAATACCCCACATTTAGCTGATTCTCTGAATTTGAACCAACTGTGCATTTATGTAATAGTCTCCATGTGCTGCACAAAGAAGCTTCTT